CCTGATAATAGGTTTTTCTTTTTTTCTTTTTTCTTTTTTTCTTTTTTCTTTTTTGTGGACGGACACCGAATGAATGTGCGGGTGTTTTACTTCCTTCTTTTTGGGCTCACTGGGGATGTGTCAGCGCTCTGGGGCGGTAGCTGTGTTGTGTCTTTGGAGTGGAGGCGGGTCTAGCCCGATTGCCTGTTTCTTCTTTTTGTTGCCTCTCTTGTTGCTTAGGATGTTTTGCTCGGCTGCCCTCTCGCGGGATGGACCGGCCGTTCGTTTCTTACCCCACTGCCACCACCACCTCTGCGGTGTGAGTGCTGCCTCCGATGCTGACGGCCAGCGAAAACGCAGGCGCCGTGCTTGCAACGATCACTTCGCCTGCACCTCTGCCGCCTCAGAACCCACGGCCATTGTGCGGAGGGGAAGGAGTGCTGTGCGCGCGTGAGTGGAGCGTGCTCCGTGGGTGCGGCGGCGGCCGTATATAATCATTTCTGTGCCATGACTGTCTCAATCGGGCCCGCAAGAGCAGCACCGACGGCGTGAAACGCGCAGGGCGACTGACGAAGTCATGATGCGATCAATCGAGGCGTTTGTATGACCGTGACGATGAGTTACACCTCCGTGCACCCGGCTACCTACAACAGACACGGGACTGACGCGCCCCTTCCCTCCACACCCCTCTCCGCCGCCTTCTCCTCTCTCTCTGTCTCTCTGTGCCACGGTGCACCACCTCGCCTCCTCTGTCGTGCCGGAGTGTGTTTCCCCGGGCTGCGTGCCGCATTCTACGTTTACGGTCTTATTGTGTTGGACGGACAGCGTGTTTGGGATGACGCTTTGGTGTGGTTGTCAATGATGGTTTAATTTAATTATACACCTGATTTTATGTGTGACGAGACACAACACACTGAGTAGCAATCGCGTGGCCGAGGCATACCCAATACACGAGAAAAAAATGTTGCAACTTTGCGAGGCACATTCATTTATTGCGCCAAGAGCGGATTTGCTTTTGGGAGAGCGGGATGGAACCCAAAGACGCCTTAACATCACAGGTCCCTTGGTGGCTGTATCCATCAATGCCACTTCACAGGATACCCATTGAGGCCAGAAGCAATGTATTGTTTTGATTCCTTTCTTTTTACCTTGCTAGTTGCAATTTAACGAAT